GTGACACTGGTCTGTGCTGGTGTGTGTATGTGTGTGTGTCTGTGCTGCTCCAGTCACAGACTCAGACACAGACACAGGAGCGGACGACACCAGACCACGTCAATAAAACAGTCGTGACTGGAGCCTTAAGAAGAAGCTAAAGAAACAAAGACTCCCATTCTCTCAATATTTTTTGTGCATTTTTTGCGATTCCTCAGATTGACTTACAGCATGAGCGTCTTTAGTGCTGCAGGATTGTAACTATAAATTAACCCTGTTCAAACCCCTCATACCCCGGGGCAATAAACAGAGGTATTTCGTGCAGAAAACCTGAAAAATGTCTGAATCACATCTCAGCAATTACGTTCCATTTATTGTGGTTACAGGAGGAATTTCAGAGCCGACTTTTAAAGACATAAACTTTTCTCCTTCTACGTTCCCTTCGTTCTCCTCCTGACCCGTAATTCGTGACAACTGTGGTTCTCTGTGACGAGGCCAGACGCTCGCTGGCTTTAATAGCCCGCCCTTACATTATACATTTCAGATGGTAGTTGAGAGTGGGCACTGATCTCACAGCTTGGCAGGGAACGTTAGGAGATGCCAGGAAAATGCAAACAAACCTTAGGGAAAGGCAGAGTTTGTGCAAAACAACGGCCAAGTCTGTGTCTGTGCCTGTGTCTGAGCTGCTGCTGCTGCTGCTGCTGCTGCTGCTGCTGCAGACTGGAGGGGGGAAAGTCATTGGGAGTAAATTCTAAAGTATCTCCTCCATCCAACTGGCTGCTGCTGAGAATCCAACTTCTCTCCCTTGCTTTAAAACATCAGCCTTGAAAACAGGAGAATGAACGTTATGTTCATTTTTGAGGACTTAAATCACTGGGCGTCTTTGAGTTGCAGTACCACCACACAGCCAGGAGATGGCACTTTGGTTTCAGCGGGAGAGCAAAGCTGAGGATCTGAGACTACAAACAGACCAACAACCGTGAAAACACACACACACACACACACACACACACACACACACACACAGATCCTACATTCACTTCTGCATTTACTTCTATTTATATGAAAGTCTGATCCAAGTCATGTGACTAGTTAAAGTTAGGACTAGTTAAAATCATAACTAGTCCCTAACTGTGTGGACCAACTGGGACCAGAACTTTAGCCACAATCTTACACGTGTCCATAAAAACAAAAAACAACTAAACAACCCTAAAAACAACTACACAGATTAACCCTTAATCTGGGATTAAACTGATTTTCATCTGAACTGATGTCGATATAATTTCATAAAGACTGGATTATAGAGTGTAAACAAAGTGTTTGACTCGATATAATTTCATAAAGACTGGATTACAGAGTGTAAACAAAGTGTTGACTGTTTGATAAAAATGTCGGATTAAAATATTATTAATAATTAATTAACAGTTATATTCAGTTCGACTGGTATGATGATGTATGTGATACATCACTGAGTATCAACTGGTGGCCCGCAGGCCGGGGAAGATGACTGGACGGGCCGGATTTGGGCCGCAACTGGATTCCAAAAAATAAACAACAAATTATAATGTTTGGGAAAAAAAATACGAATTTTTATTTCACTGAAGTGTCCAGTTCTGAAGGTGTCTGTCCAGAAAAACCACTGGGATTATTGTGAGTCTATTACAGTGGTGTCAAACATGTGGTTGGCGGTCCGGCAGCAGATCGCAAAGGAAGTGCTGTTAGATCATGAGAAAGTAAAAGTAAGAAAATATAGACGTTTTTAGATGCTAATCAATTAGCACGTAGTGTTGAACTCCACTTACACTCAACCTAAAATCTACATATGAAGTCCCTTCAGGTCATGTGACTAAATACTGGATATATTCAATGTGGTCAATGTTTATGGATCATTTCAATCATTTTTTGGATCCCAAACCAAAAAAGTACGGACGCCCCTGCTTCTCATGTAACAGGTTTTTTTTTGCTGATGTTAAATCATTGTTTTTCCTCGTTTGTCTTTGTGTTTATTGGATTCAAATCCATCCAGGAGTCCTGGCAGGACAAAGTAACCACACAGCTGAAACTACTGTCATTACACACACTCTGGGTTCAATGTGATTCCATGGGCGTCGCAGTAAAGGCCGTCGACCCTGTGACATTCCTACAGCAGTGAGTGTGGACACCTGCCCTGAACCAGTCGTCCTCATGAAGCTACAATCCCGGGAGAACTTGTTTTTATTCAAAAACAGCATGTCTGCACTAAAATAACAGATTTTTTCTTCTGTTTTTTTTTTTTTTTTTTTTTAACATCTCGGCCTCCTCCTTGTTTTCTCTTCTGGCTCAGCACCTGCCTGAGCAGGTGAAGAGTTCAGAGCCGGAGGCTGAGCCTGGACACAAACCTGCTGGCTGTCACTGTCCATAACACTGTCCCCACCTCCACTGTCCTCTGCTCTCTTTACCGCTGTCATCCTGCTGCCTCCACCTGGGGCACAGCGCTGCATACATGCATGTATGTTTTTGTACACACTACAGAAACGGACAAAAAGGCCAAAAGTACACAAACGCACACACACACACAAACAGCAGCGGCCCCTTCTGTTTGCAGACGCTTACAGCACAGCAGCAGATGAAACATAGATGAGAAATTACATACAGAAATAAAACACACACACACAGAGCAGCAGCAGCAGCAGCAGCAGCAGCAGCAGCAGCAGCAGCAGCAGCAGCAGCCAGAACAATGGCTTCTGTTTGTTGTGAGCGTCCGACTCGGTCTTGTTTTTGTCAAACCAAAGGATTTCCTCCTACATTCCTAATCTACGAGCTCAGCAAACGCTACAAATCACCCACATAGTCAGATACGACTCAAACATATACGCGGCGCTGCTTCACTGTGTGCTGGATGTGTTGGCTGATCAAATGGAATATGAATTTCACAACTCTGATTTGATTTTTTTCTTTTTCTTTCTATGATTAATTAAAGGAAGCTTCTCTGGGATCATTCACTTCATTTCAAGGACGTTCACGGAGGTGTTTGCCCAAAACATTTCTTTCTTTTTTTGTTTTTAAATACGCAGGAGTTTGGACTGTTCATAATCAGATCAGGGTTTTGGGTAACAGTGATGACAGCGTGTTTGTGATTTATCAAACAGATGGAGGAGGATTTTCTGAGCCGGAGGAGAAAATGACACAACTCACACAACCAGATGTCAGTATGTCAGGGTGTAAAAAAGGTACAAGGAAAGCCCCCCCCCCCCCTCCTGTAATTTAAGGAATTTATATCTTTAAGATTGACAAATAGGACGGCTGTTGTCATGCGGAGACACCGTAGGTGGCGCTGAGACACACTCACTGCCAGGACCCAGGAGTGGGAAATAATGGCGGGGCCCAGGCATCGGGCATGTGTGTGTGTGTGTGTGTGTGTGTGTGTGTGTGGTCACGAGGAGCAGTAATAGTAAAAATGTTCATCTTCATGTTACTTAACCTTTATTTAACCAGGTGAGTCCCTCTGAGATCAATTTCTGGTGCAGGGAAAAGGAACAGCTGGTGGAGCAGCGTTGTGCAGAGAACAACACTATCAAGATTTTATAAGAGGCTCAAAGGTAAGAGACACAGACGGACAGAGAGAGAGAGCAGATGAGATGGAATAAGAACTGCCCTCACGCTGTTGTCCATCACTCCTGGAACACGACTGAATTATAAATACACCGTGTCATAAACAATAACAGGAGCAGAGAAAAAAAAAAAAGGAAGCGCAATACTTAAAAAAACAAAAAGATTTTAGAAAGAGCCTGAGATTTGTGTTCGTATTCAGCTGTGTATCATTTGTGGAGAAATACTGCATATTTACAAACCTCAGCTTGAGTAATACCACGCATGTATACACAGAGGAGAGCAAACTATAGTATTTGATCCATGTATAACTACCGACTGTAGTACAGCCATGTTGTACCTGTACACACACGGGTATCAAGCTAAGGAGTATTTGATACTTGGATCTATATATTGCCAAGTATAAACAAATACCTCAGGAGTATTGTACATGTATATTACTATATATATGTGAGTCAAGAAAACTTCATATGTAAATGAAGCCATATATAAGACATAAATGCACGTTTATATTTACATATATGTCCAGTTGCACATGTATTTACATATAATGTATGTTTAGTTGCACATGTATTTACATATAATGTATGCTTAGTTGCACATGTATTTACATATAATGTATGCTTAGTTGCACATGTATTTACATATATGTCCAGTTGCACATGTATTTACATATATGTCATAAATGCACATGTATTAACATATATGTCCAGTTACACATATATTTACATATATATCCTGTTGCACATGTATTTACATATATGTCGAGTTGCACATATATTTACATATATGTCCTGTTGCATATGTATTTACATATATGTCCTGTTGCACATGTATTTACATATACTGGCAGAGCAGTTGCACATGTATTAATGCTGTGCAAGTGCAAATATTATATATATATATGATATATGATATATATGTCACCATAATATATCCTGTGTATATTTACTTCACAGAGATGCACATCATGATTTTAAGAAGGAACAAAAATAAGGTCGACTGTTGTTGGTGTGTGGTACTGATCTACTGTGTTGTGATAAAAATACACAGCCGTTAGTGCACATCGGGTATATGCATGGTAAATATATGTAATTACTCATATATGGTGTCAAGATATTCACAAATATACAGTGTTAAATCAGCAGTGACCTAATGAAGTGGCCATGAAGTCTGAATTAACCTGGAGTTAACGTTACTGGCTGTATTTTAGATACAGACTAGAAATGAAGAAAAAAAAAAAAAATTTTTTTAAAATATTTTAATTAAAAAAATGGACTTTGTTTGAACTCCTTGAATGTTAAAGTTAACAACGAAGCCGTGAGGTTTGTTAAAACCTGCTTTGTTTGGACGGAGAATCTAACGACAGCAGTTGAACTGGAAATGAATGACCTGCAAGACTGGTGTGTGTGTGTGTGTGTGTGGCTAAAGAGGAAACGATGGACTGCATACACACACAGTAAACACAGACACACAAAAGCCATGCTGTGGGACATGCTCTCCTGTGTCCTGTTTGTCCCTCCTCCACTGGTCTCCAGGGACCCGTTACTTTGGCAATGAACAGACCTCAGAGCCGGTGACAGGGGTGTGTGTGTGTGTGTGTGTGTGTGTTTGTGTGCAAATCAATTGCATGTCAACTTTTAATCGGTCTCAGTGCATCTACGTGTGTGTGTGTGTGTGTGGAGGGGGAGGCTGGTGTCCGAAGACGCCTTCAGAAAAGCCCTAATTGCCGTTCCTTTCTCCGGCCGTCACACCTTCCTCTGTGCTCAGACTTCCAGCCTGATCACGCACACACACACACACACACACACACACACACACACACACTCACAGGAAGCGCCGCGCTAATTAGAGACAGCACAGTTTCTCCAAATCGCATTCTTACATGTCTCTGACCAAAATGTCAGTGTGTGCATGCAGGATTTCATTTTTTTTGTTTCTGTTTCTAAACAGACTCAGACCATTTGTCATTTTTTTCTTTTGGCTAAATGTAGCAATAGGAAGAGAAACTCTCCAGCTGTGATTACAGAGGTATCGCTGCAGTAAGCAGAGGGAGACGGGAGCTGGTCCCCCCTCAGGCTATATGCATGTGTTTTCTACTGTACAGTGTGCAATTTTAATTACATAAAACCAGGCGTTCAACGCTGGGAAGGAACAGAAGCCAACGTTCTCATTTCCACTCCTCCTCCACCAGAACCTCATCATTTCCTAATGTTCTCAAGTCTCCTGATAAATTTATGGATGAATGTGTATTTTGCGGGCGTGCACATACTCGCTCATCGTCTGCCAGCTCTGCACACAACAAAGGGGGGAGAAAAAAAAAAAAAAAAAAAAAAAGTGCAATCCACTTATGGTGCACAAGCAGAATCTTCAGAGAAAACGCTGACCAGCAGATGAGCTGCTTCCACTGTCCGCGCGCAAAAACAAAAACCCTGAATTTACAAGAGAGTGTCGACATAAAAAATGCTTATCATTAGACTTGGCACGCTGACAAACAACTGTACTTTTAAAAGTGGTGAAAATGAAAATAAAAAAAAAATGGAGGAAGAGGAGGAAGAGAAGAGAGATGGAGATGAAGGATTAAAGGAAGGAACGACGCTGAAGTGAAAAGACGACAAATTCTCCTCAATGGGACGAAGGGACGGATCAGTGCAGATGTAGTTATGTACTAATGTATCTGTGTGTGTCTGAGAGTGTGTGTGTGTGTGTATGTGTCATACCCGTCTCATCTTCTGCAGTCTCCTTGGAGACAGGCTCTTGGTGCTGGTGGGAGATCCTGCACAGACCATCACCCCTTCGTCTCTTTCATCCTGGCAGAAAGAGGAAGAATGAGAATCTTAGGAAAAATTCGTACCTGAGATGAATTCAAACCAAAACTGCAATTAGTTCCAAAAACTAAACTTTTATGTTTAATCACAGGACGTGGGGGGAAAAAAAAAAACCAAATCACTTCTGATTTGATCTGACTTTAAATGGAGGAAGAAAAGAGAAAATCAGCAGCAAATGAGTTCCTTTTTACCAGCTGTAAACATCGAGTCACTGGTCACGTGTCGTCAGACAAACAGATTAGAGCCAAGAAAACACACACATATATAAAGTATACATGCAGTAAATATATATATATATATATATATATATATTTACCTGTACAAAACTGTGAACATGTTTTGATATTTTTTAGACCCAAAAATGTGGAAAATTGAATGTAATGACCAACGTTTATGTTTCAGTCCTGACAGTTTCTGACAGTTAATTAAAATACGTGACACAAGTAAGTGTGGAGAGGATTTTTTTTTTTAAAGGCAGATCGAGCACATATGAAGAATAAAACTTGAAGTGTCAACTCTAACTGATCATCAGCGCCACCTGCCACCTTCCCCTGTAGCTGTGACATTAAAGCTGTTTCTGACGTCAGGTTCAGTCGATATGGAAACCGTGCAGGATTAACAGGTCAGACCTCTGAGACAAATGGGTTGTTTCTGAGGACATTTTTTGAGACTTCCACTTGGATTAACGGCAGCCCCCTGCAGGGGAGGGAAAGTAACTACACGCCAGGAGAATTTTAACTTTTGAGGGAAAAGTTTTTACAGAAACCTTCTGTTGAACTGGGTAACGGTGTCTCTGACTGTAATGAAGATAATCCACCGTAGTTGATCTCAGTTAATCCTGCTTTCATACTCATTTGTATTGGAGGAAAAATCAGCAGCGTGACAAATCTGTGTCTTTAAGAACAGAAGAAGACGCTTCCCCTCAAAATGAAGGATTAGAATGTTGTAGAAAAAAAAGATATGTATACACATATATATATATATATTTATGACATGTTTTTGAAGACTTGGATCTAATGAGCTTAATCTGACTGCCAGGACTGAAGAACAGTTTATACACTTCTGTGGAAGATAACGACGACAACAACAACAACAACAACAACAAGAACAACAACAACACAAATCACGGCAACCATGTCTAAGCAGTTTTAACAGCTTGTGTCTTGTGTCAGATTAATGTTGATCCCTGCAAACTCTTCTTCATTTGTCTCCACACAACACTGGTTAAAAAAGAAAAAAAAAAAAGCTTCTAATATTACACACACACACACACACACACTTCTCCTGCACTTAGCGCTTCCCTGAGTCTGTGTGTGTGTGTGTGTGCCCTCTCCGCTCTGTTTCCCGCTGACAGATCAAACTGCCGCTGCCGTATCAAAGCCATCAGCCTTATGGAAACATACACCTCATTACATTAGCTTTGAGGAAATCACAGGCTAACTGATGAAATATGCACACAATAAAAGAGAGAGAGGGGGGGGACGAGCGGGAGGGGGGAGG